TGAATGTGTGCTTATTTGGATAACATGTGACATAAAATATTCAGATTTCTTAGATTAGAAGCACAAATAAGCATTTCACGTTACATCATTTTGATACAACCATTAGGCAATTACACTTAAAATCATGCCAGCAAGTGTGCAGTCAGAGTATGCACGTGTTCAAAACTAAAATGTGTCTATCCTGGATGCTTAGTCCCTAACACTATTGGAACCATTATGATATCTTCACTCAGTCATGTTCTGAAGCTCTACAGGCCAAAACACATCCAGCAACATTAATGGACGACATAGCAGAAGGCGAGCGAAGCCGATCACCACAGATCAGTCTCTATTGTAAGAGGGATCAATCATGATAAATCTATAGAATCTATAGACTGCTATTGTATGTGGTGTCCAGAGTATGACCCCGGACTCGGCCACCCTGAGAAACTGAGGTTAAAGGTCACACACACAGACAGAGAGAGACATAGCTACATAGATCTCTGTCTCTGTCTGTCTCCCAAGACCCTCTGCACATTGAAGTCCATTCATTTGTGGACTTAAGCCCTCTGTGTGATGCAAGGAGTAAGAGATTTTACAGGAGAAGTTCATAGTGATCACACCAATTCTTGGTAAAAGTCTGCAAATTTTATATTCTTTTTCACCCATGTGAGGCTCGTGTGTTGCTGGAGCATATCCCAGCATGTATTGTGTGAGAGAAATTGTCCATCCTTAAACAGCTGCCAGTCAAACACATGCAGACAGACAATACATTTACACTACCACCTAAGTTTTGAGGTGTGTTCAGACTCAAGGCAAAACAATTTTTTCCTTGTGCTGTTTGGAGAATTTGACCACAGAGTATTAATAACTAAAAAAATCCAATGTTTACAGGATAAGGCTTGTGATATTCTATATTTTTGTTACTGTCAAGAAATCGCATAAAAAGACCACCAACAATGTGTCAGTCCATCTCTCACTACTGATTCCCTTAACTCTGTTTGGGCACTGAGCCCCAACTCCTATTGGTTTCTTTCAGTTGTGAAGTGAGAGGAATTATTTTGGTCACCCCTGGCTCCAAAAGTAAATGTCCTGTTAACTTTTTCCACAGACAATAACCTCTATGGCTTCGATTTACATGAAACACCCCACATGATAAAAAGTGAAGGTGCAAGCCTGTGTATGTAAAATTTTGTGGAAAAGGTGAAGAATAAATAAAAAGATAAATGAATGGCATGAATGGAATGGGTCTGCGGGTCCTCCCCCAGGAAATTTTGAGCCTCAAACACCTTATTTTCTGAATTCTGATATTTTTTCTGCATCAGTTTATGGTGGAAGGGTTTTGATTTGTGTCAAGGACAATGCAAATTTCAGGCTGCAGATTCAAAATGAAAACATGATGGAATATCATACACTAGGTGAATACTCCCAGGCATTCTGTATTGCTTTCAGATATTTATTCTCCCGTAGATCGACTTTTCGGATTTACTGTTATTCCTGCTGAGTCAACACACCTTTTACTGTGTAAAAATGAGGGACCGTGTTCTGCAGTGAGGTTTGAATGGTACTGGAAGTACAGAGAAGAAAGCTGTTCTGACATACCAACACACTGAGGATGATTTCTACTTAAGAGCTCTTGAGTTAGACATGAAAACCACAGAGTAAGATAAGAGACTTTTTTGGGGGGGAAGTTTGCTTTCTTTTTCATTAAAAGTGTCTTAAAAACATGGTTCTTCAGGCCTTGTTTTTAGATCTTCCCTTGTTGTTACTTTTCCATCAAAACCCAAGTAATGTAAGAATGTGCAATAAAGTTTGTATATAAGAGAAAACTGCTGTGATGTCACACATTAATTCTTATCATTACCTTCTAAAAACACTTTAAATATTCTTAAAGAATCCCAGAGAAGCCACCTGCAGTGGCTGCAGCTCCACACTCCTCCTCCTCTCTGCGCTATTGGCGCACAATGTGTGTCACACTGAACCACACGTCAAATTTATATACTGAAGCCTTATTTCAAGTTAAGGTTGGTTTTTACAGATAAGTGTGAAAGTTAATTGGTGTCTGTCTCCGCTCGCACCAGGCAGTTGGTGAATCTGAATCTTAAAGAGAGCTGGAGGGAGATGATGTGATTTTATGCCAGGCTAGTTTGTGTTGTTGGGCTTAACGGTGAGTTGTTGCCTACATGAGACTGGCTGTATTGACATGTTTTAATAGTAGTTTAATTTCACATCAGTGACAAACAATGTCAAGGCTTAAGGTAAACACTATTGTTTCCTGGCTGTCCATGAAAGCAGGTCATAGGGAAACATGATGCCGCTCTGCAGGGCACTTGATTTGTGTGTGTTAACTTGACTGTGATAAAGGATGTTGAAGAGGGAGGGGCAGGGGCTGTTGCAGTCTTGCAGAATTAAAACAAAAAATGCCGTTGTCGGGCATACAACACGCATTTAAAGCTACTCTTACCTTTCTTGCATTTCAGCCACCTGCTGAACTGAGTCCAACTCAGCTCCATTGGTAAGGTGGACTCAGTTCAGCAGATGGCTGAGGTGAGGATGCTCAGAAAAGAAATGTGTCTTTCACTAATCAAGTTAGCCAAGCTTAGCTCTAATCCCAGAAGTATATCCGGAAGTGTTACGTAGCCCGCGGAAATGGCGCTTCACGAAGTGAGGATTAGAATATCCTGCTATATGCAGTTCACACAACCTGGCTGAAATTAATAAATATAAATGCTTAAAGAGCCACTCATTGCTAAACGTGAATATTTAAGGTGTGTTGATTGATTCCTGTCATCTCCTCATGCATTGAGTAACACTACAAGTAAAGGTTCCACCTTAAAAGTTGCTGGCCATTGGCCCAGTGAATGAAGTTATTTTTTCTCAAACTCCAGCTGCTGTGAGAGGCAGCAAAACATCCTTTCATTTTATTGTTACAGTTTATTAATAAAAATCTCCACGATATGAACAGTGGTAACATGAGCCTCAAACCAGCCACATCTCAGCCCTGAGCAGAGTGACTGTCCACTATTGACCAATCAAAGGACTTCAGTATTCACAGCTCCACCTTTTAGTACCAGATCTGTGTGCTTGGTAACCCAACAGAAGAGTACCAAAAATGGGGAAGGTATAGAATGGTTCCATTCGTACAATCCACAACTTTTCGTGGAAATGGAAAAAAAGCGTACCGAACTGAACTGAACCGTATAGTACTGCTTGGTGAACACGGAGCTAAAGATTGTGCTGCGGGGTTAAGTGAACTGTTCATTAAAATCTTTAACCTTTCTCTGTTACAATGCACTGTCTCCACCTGCCTAAAGACGTCCACAATTGTGCCAGTTCCAAAGCAGACTGTCATAACATCCCTCAACGATTACAGACCTGTGGCACTGACATCTGTAATCATGAAGTGCCTGGAGAAACTGGTCCTACAACACATCAAGGCTGCTCTGCCACCCACCCTAGACCCCCACCAATATGTCTATAGAACTAACAGGTCAACAGATGACGCCATCTCCATCACCCTCCACACTATACTGCTCCATCTGGAATAACAAGGGGCGTATGCACGGTTGCTGTTTGTGGACTACAGCTCTGCATTTAAAACCATCTTACCCAGCCAACTGGTTTCCAAAATGTCCAACCAGGGTGTAGACCACAACATCTGCCTGTGGATAAAAGACTTCTTGACAAACAGGCCACAGTCAGTCCGGATAGGCACCTAATGTTCCTCCACTCTGACACTTAGCATGGGTTCCCCAAAAGGCTGTGTGGTAAGCCTGTTTCTCTACTCTCTGTACACGCATGAGTGTGTTCCATCCCATAACACCACCACCATAGTTAAATTTGCAGATGACACAACCGTGATGCGGCTGATCACCAAGACAAGAGAAGACAGAGTAGTGCACAGAAAATAACCTTACTAGTCAAGAAGGCACAAAAGGAATGAGGAATAATAAGCATAAGCACTTTTTTCCCCATTTTAATTGCATACATTAGCAATGAGTGTATGGTAGCTACAACTGTGTAGAATGTGACCGGAATGGAGGCATTTATTTATTCATTTCTATTACTATTTTATTACTATTTATTACTTGTTTTTATAAATGAGCCCAGTCCTTGAGTGCACCTGAATTTCACTGTATGTTTGTACAGTGACAATGAACTGAATCTAAAATCTAACAAAAGTCACCTAGAGGCCTATGAATCTTATGAAATAGCCCAAACCTGGATCAAGTTTTTCAATGTAATTTCTCATTTCTACAAAAGCTATGAATTTCTATTCACCTTCAGTGTTTTTGGTGGTGTCAGAAATCTTCTTTTCAAAATCTCAGCACACAAAACAGAGATCATTTATGTGGCTGGATATCACTAGATGTAAGTGGAAAAGTAGGTGTTCTTGTAGACTAATGTTAGTGAACCAACCTTAGAAACAGTGTTGGAAAGGTTACTTTTGAAATATAATAAGTTACAGATTACTAGTTACCTGTTTAAAATGTAATTAGTAATGTTTCTGTTTGAATACTTCACCAAAGTAATGTAACCTATTACACTTGATTATGTTTTGATTAATTTTCTATTACATGTTATACTGGGAAATAAAGCTGACAAACGTAGAGAAATAGGTTGAGCCAAAAGAAGACATTCCTGCATGATGAACAGATGCAAAGCAACTGAATGAATGTTATGTTCTGCATATAAGTGTTTTAGTGAATATATGGATGTAACCTTTTTGTAATCATCATCAATCATTTTGAATAGCAACTGTAATTTATTTACATACTATTCCCCAGTAACTGTAACTGATTACAATCATACTTATTTGTGTAGCGGTTCTTCATTGCTCTCATCTTTAGTTAGAATAATGTATACAGCTCCTATTAAAAAAAATATCTTTAACGAGTGATAAGAACGGAAAATGTGCTTTTACTTTGAACTTTTTAGCCGGATATGTCGTCATTATATGGTAATTCACTTGACGCGGACAACTCTTAAAACGGCGCAGCAGCTGGGGGATGTAAGTAAACTCACCGCACATGGACGGTGGGAAGAGAGCAGCCACTCCGGTGTTTCCCCTAAATCTGTCCTGTGCAACAAAGAAAGTAACTCTAAGGCCGACGGAAAAAGAATAAAACACAGTAGGACAACGGAGACAAACAAGGAATTATTTAATTCACTACATTTTACACAACCATTGTAACAGTTACCTGGAGGTATTCTCCCACGAGTCAAAAGAAAGTTGGAAGACGGTTTTTGTCCACAAAATGTGGAGCAGCTTGTGATTTGTCGTCAGCTTACGTTAAGTGGAAGCTAGTTTCAAAGTTTATCAGCACAGTGACACGAAGGCAACAGCTTAAAGAGACACACTGTTCCAGGCACAGTCAATGGAACCCCAGTTATTGTGCTGTGAGGGGGACAGGCCTGCCATCCGGAGGGCCTACCGGGACTCCAACCTGTTGAATGACCGGGTCCTGCATGCTCTGTTGCGAGCAGAAGACAAGTACCTCCCCGCTCCCAACTACTTCAAATGCGTCCAGAGAGAAATAGCTCCGTACATGAGGAGGATAGTGGCTACCTGGATGTTGGAGGTGAGTTAAAGCCAAATACTTGATGTTACGTTTTGTATAATCACCTTCACAGAACTGGAATTTCAGCGTGTCTTTGCTTATCTGCAGAGTTACGTGTTTAAGAGGTCTTTGTGAGTCATTGAAAGCCGCTGGTGAATTCGGCATTCAAGCTACAATAAGTGTAACACTGATTATCAAACACCCTAAGGAGTAGATTCAGACTGCTCAACAGCACCACTGCTGGAAAGGGAAAGAGAGGAGAAAAAGGTGTATTCATCTTGTCCAAAGGTAAACGCAACTGATGCCGAGTTGAAGTTCTAGTCCCATAGACCCAGTAGTGCGAAGACAGGTAACGTTAGTGCAGTCTTGCGGATAAAAATGCAGCAAGTTGGGATTTTAAGCTGTGTTTCTCAATGAAGTTCTGTTTTAAATGGTTGCTATTATTATATAGGTTGACATGGACATGACCGTGGTCCATATCATGTATTTTATAAGTATGATTAGCCTGTTAAGAAGGCAGTAATGACGCTGTCCTGTGCTGAATGGTATTCTTAAATAGTTAATGTAGTTTGAAAGTACCGTAAAGTAGGTACTCAAGGCTTCAGCAGACGCGTTTTTTTTTCTTTTACCTGACAGTAAAACGTATTTCCACTCGCACGTGCCAGTTTAACTAAATAACGTGAAAAGAAAATTGAAAGTCACGGTGGATGCATGACAAAATGTATGGTTTAACGTCTTCAAATATTTAAAAACATTTTTGAAAAATGTTGCGGGCTGCCAGTCTGCAGACCACGCGCTGCCTTTGTGTTAGGGGCTCGTGAGGAACTTCACAGTTCTTACTCTTACAACAGGTCTTACCTTTATCAAGGCTCTATATCGTTTCCACATGCCTAACAGTTACAATCAACATTTCTCTAGCTCTATACAGTTTATACATACAGTTAGTGGGACAGCGACTGTATATGCGCGTGCCTACTTTTCCTTATTGAAGTCTCGTGCTTGTCTTTTTTTTCACCAAGCTGTTCAGCTTCGGTATTTGTGACGCATTGACAAAACGAAACCTCTTATCTGTGAGGTAACACTGCTTCTTGTTCTTTCTGGACGGACTTCTTTTTTTTTTTATAAGTGGCTTCCCACTACTGAAAAGACATCTCAAATCACCTTTAGGTGAAACTGCAATATCTGAGTTAAAAAAACAACAACTGTTAATTACTGGAATCAAATGGTGTTGTCTTGAGTCTGTGCCCTTACTTGTGTTTTGTTTTAAAGTTTTCTGTTAATTGCATGAACCCAAGAAAAGCAATACATCCTCACACTAAGGTTGTAACAGTATGAGATTTTCACGTACAATAACTGTCTTAGAAAATATTGCGCTTTCACAGTATCATGGTATTCCAGAATTGTTCTCATTATAAGTCAAAATGACCCTCAAAGGAATTAAAACAGAAGTGTTTTTTTTTTTGGTTGAATTAACGATTTTATTACTATAATTGAAACTCGAAATGATTTTGTCAATGGAAGTCTGTGTTAAAAACTCTCTGAATAGGCACTGAATACGGTGGCCCTTTGCGACTTTAACCAAACTGACAGTGGTAACAGCGAATTATTCTTACAACACTGATGACAAAACAGTGTTCAATGGCAGTATTGTTGTCTGGGTTGTTTGTGTAGGTGTGTGAGGAACAGAAATGTGAGGAGGAGGTTTTCCCTCTGGCTATGAACTACATGGACCGCTTCCTGTCAGTGGAACCCACCAAGAAGAACCACCTGCAGTTACTGGGAGCTGCCTGTATGTTCCTGTCATCCAAACTGAAGGAAACAATCCCACTCACTGCTGAAAAACTCTGCATCTACACAGACAACTCTATCACACCAACCCAGCTGCTGGTAGGCCACCATCACATTAAAACACTGTCTGTCTTAGCGGGGATGCTGTAGTCCAAGTGTAGTCATGAGCAGGCAACATGTTTGATACTATGTGTAGTATCTGGCCTGCATGTCTGTCTGTCTGAAAGCTTTTGTTCAGATGGGGATATCTCATCAGCTTACAGCCAGATTGGTATGGATTTGACCAGCACTTAAGTTCAAGACTAAGTATCTTGAAAAAGTGGCTGCCTTGTCAGGAAGTTCACTGTGGACGTTCATGGTTCCCAGAGGAGGATTCCTAATAGTTTTGATGACTCCCAGACCTTTCATGCAGTGCCACCTAAAGCCAAAAATCCCCATAAGTAGACAAAAAACCTCCATCGCCATCTCTGTTAATCCCTGCATCTGTCTGTTGTGATCACACTTGACCCTGTCCTTCTGTCCCTTTCTCTGCCCACACAGCAAATGGAGCTGTTGGTTTTGAACAAGCTGAAGTGGGACCTGGCTTCAGTAACCCCTCTGGACTTCATTGACCACTTTTTGTCTCAGCTGCCTGTCAGGAGAGAGAACAGGCCCATCCTCAGGAAGCACGCTCAGACCTTTGTGGCTCTGTGTGCCACAGGTATGAATGGGACTACTTGATATACATGACTGTCTTTTATAAAAGCAAGTGAAAGTTCTTATTAGATATGTTTTACAAAGACAGTGTATCTTCAGCTCTTGTTAAGGCCATCTTTATTTGCTGTGCAGTATACTGCACACTATGACAGTCTAACAAATAAGATGCAGCAGATCGACCTTGCAGCAGAAGTACGAAACAAAGCGTTAAAGGAAAAAGGGAAAACACTGAAGGGATAGTTCTTTTTTTTTGAGTGGGGTTGTATTAGCTACTCTTCCATAGTGTATAACTTACAGTAGATGTCAGTCTGCATGCTCCCAATTTGAAGTAGCAGGCTGGAGTCCAACACAGAAGCTCAGCAATCTACTGCTGTGGAAAAGGGTCAGCAAAGAAAAACACATTTTAGCCACCTAAAAAAAGCCTCACCTCAAAAAAATCAATATCAGTTTTGTTTTTTGTGATCAGATTATTATTAGCAACACACACTGCAACATACTCATACATCATTGACACACAGTCACCCAGACCAGCCATTCCAACTGTAATTCAGGCTACAAGATGTTTTAAGGTTCACTGAAAGCGACAGCCACATCTCTACTGTCTCTTCTTAAGCCCTGTGCACTCAGGCTGTTAAGCCCCAGATTCACAATATCTAAGTATGCCACACACTGGGGAGAGAGGACGTGGGGAGGCTTCCAACAGGTAACAACCAGTTTCTTCACAGCTGTTTTTTTAGCAGTGTCAAGTCAAAAAAACAAAAAAAACAATATCAATGTAAGTGTACGCAATATTGAGAGCATTTTTTCTACTTATCCTTTCTGTCAGACAGCATGTTCTGACAGGAACGTCGTTAATGGCTTCAGTTCCCCATCAAAGCCACCAGACTCCATTGAGACCATTTTACCACCACCATTTTAGCACTCTGATCACAGGAGCTATTGGTCTACCACTTCTTCGATCAGTAAGTTTGTAAGTGTCATTGTGTGACTTTAGTGAATCTGAGCTAACCCTTTCAACATCGAAGTCACACAATATAGTGTACATTTAAACTGGTAGTGCTTTTTTTTTTTTTTTTAAGGTGGGACTTTTTTAGGTGGCTAAAATACATTTTGTTACTGACAACACACACACACACACACACACACACACAGACACACAGCAGTACATTGTTTAGCTTCCATCTTGGACTCCAGCCTGCCTCTCCAAACTGTGGTTTATCTGTGCCAACAGACATCTCACTGTCTATGGAAAAGTACCTCATACAACCCCACTTAAACACACAAAAACCGTAACTATCCCTTAAAGGAAAGGTGGAATCATATTATATTTGCTCTCTACTGGTTAAGTCCAGTTCATTTTCATTCATAATTGAGAGTTAGAGGACGGCAGTACAGACATGACCAATAATCAGGGGCAGAGTAGCTCTCCCTGCCACTGGGGAGTTGAACAATGCAGAGTGGTCCTCCTCAACAAAGAAGACTGCAATAAAACCCCTCATGCCTAGTTCACACTACACAACTTTAGCCCTGATTTTCCACCTACTGTCTTATGGTGCTCCCTGACAAAAGCCCCAGTTTAGAGGAAAGTGGATGTTGGTTTGGCACTTGCAAATCGGCACTCGAGAGCTGTGTTTGAACTGGTCAAAGATACATGCTGAGAGGCTCACTTATGCAGATATACTCCAGATATGCAACAAGCTAAATATCTGGACCTACAGCCAATGAGAGCACAAGACAAGGGTTGAGAGGAAACCTGGGGAAAGAGGTTGTCTGTAACAGCAGGAACTTTATTGTAAGTGTTGCATTTATAGCCCAGACCAAAGTTGTTGTTGATGCACCTAGAGGAAACAGGCTATAAAGGAAATAGGTTATTTTGTGAACACGCATGCCAACAACAAAAAAAAAATCTGGTCTTAAGGGTTCCTGCAGATCCTTAAACACACTGAATTCATTAAAGTAAAAAGGTCTATAAAGACCTTCATGTTGAGACGTGAGGTAGGATTTTATGAACAGTTTTTTGTTCTGACATTGCATTTAGGGCTAAAACTGAAAATCGTTGTTGCAAATTGTCTGAATCGAAACGTCGCCATATAACTATATACAGTGTACTGTATTTGGCACAGAAGATTTTTAGTGTGGTACAACGCGTTTACTCAGCAGACAACTTGCGTGGAGAAGACACGTTAAAATCTTACATCCATGCTCAGAGTACAGGATGTGATTTGATTGAGCGTATTGCAGAATGATGAATGAGAGAGAAATAATGAGAGGAGAAGAGACAGGCCAGAGAAAACGAGAGAGAGTGTTCAAAGTTTGGGATCATTTTAAGCTGAAAGCACCAAATCTACACTGTGCGTCTTTATTAAAACCAAACTAGCTTGCCACAATAGCCTTTTGTCAATACTTCAGCACCTAAATAGAAAGCATCCGGTCCACAGAGTGGATCTGACACAAGGTAACATTAATGTTAGCTTCCCTCTGGGCTGCCAGCACCTGGAGCTCCATGCTCATCCACCAGTGTTGTGTCTGTCAAAATTCTGCCGGATGACTGCAAACTCTGAGCCCCTTGCTAGTGGGTGAGCGTGGAGCTCCAGGCAGCGTGGAGGGAAGACAAACACCATTCATCTGCACCAACTGCCCACACTTTGATGACACAAATCTGTTTGAAAAATGATGTTTAAAATTAATATGGTGGCTGGTTCAGCTTTCACAAATGGACGACAGCATTTTAATTTCTGTTTATTTAATTTATGTTTTGTTTTTGTTGTGTGGTTTTGTTTTGTTTTTTGGCAAAACTGAGCTAACTTAGACATAACCACTGAAAATAAAATGCTACAGTTTGTGAAAGCCTGAGCTTCATTCATGTTTTTACTGTGATAGTCACACGCACCAGTACCTCAAACATCAAAATGTCAGGTGCTGTAGGTAGAAACTGGAGCCTAATTATTGTTATGGCATTGCTGAAACCAGTAAATGGGAACGTATGCGGTTTTTATAACTCAGTGTGATGGGAATCTAGGCAGTGGAGCTCCATGTGCAGAGTAAGAAACACAAAATCTCTATGTAAAATTGCCAACAAACGTAGGTGCTTCTGTTCCACCCTCGTCTATGCCACAAGCCAAAAAAGTAATGTTTATGTAAGAATAAATATTTAGGCAAAATTGTTCCTTACCCCAAGTAATGTCAGTTTAGTTATGTTTTTACCCTTCAATTTCTGTCATTGTAAAATTGGTTAAATTGAAGTCAGAGTGGCATTAAAAAGTCTTAAATCTAACTTGTCTTAAGCTGTAGGAATCCTGCTGTCTTGTGCGTGGTGTGACATAATTTCCTGTGTAACAATAACTAGCAAGTGTATTTGTGACAAAATGCAGACATACCTCCTAGATTCCTCCTGGTGAAAGATCTTGCAGTATGTGACCCCCTGTCGCTGGGCAGTCATGTAGTGTGAAAACCAGGATGACTTCAAGACTGTTGATTACAAGCCAGCAAGTTGTGTAGTGTGAACAGGACAGCAACTTGGATATTTTATGGTGTAAACTGGGCAAAATTTGACACAGCTCTGAAGAACACATGAAAAATCAACAAAAAAAACAATTAGTTTCTTAAAAAAAAAATTTAATTCTCCATGGACTCTTGTATTATATAACTGGGCCATCAGGATTTTTACCTTTACGCCACTGTTACCTATCAAACAACAACAAACATCAAACAGCTACTGCTGCTGGTTAATATTTCCATAATACTTTAGTGAGGGGAACATTAAAAGGAAATTTCAGCATTTATGTTGCTCCAGCTGGACTTAGTGGATCTTATTTCATTTTCTAACCAGTACCTTAAACGAATTCCTCCCACTAACGCAGCCTTATGTGTTGTTCTAACGCAGAGTTTTTTTCAGTTTGAATCCTCACTGAAACAGCTTTGACTCTGTGACTTTGGTCCTCTTCTACTGCCACTCCCTATTTAAAATGTGCCGTATCAACATTAAGTCCTATTTTGATGCTCCACAGATGTTAAATTTATTGCTAGCCCTCCGTCGATGGTGGCAGCAGGCAGCATGGTGGCAGCAGTGGAGGGTCTACAGATGAGAATGGTGGGCAATGCCATGATGTCTCAGAAACTGACGGAGCACCTGGCACAGACCATCAGGAGTGACCCGGTGGGTACATCCATTTCCATGTTCATGACAGTACCCAGTACACATACACATACAGTACGTTTACATGCATATTTAAGTTGAGCAATGGTTATAGCTCGGCTAGGCCATTTAATTGGACTCCTTGTCCCAGTATACAAGCACAGGAGGGGAATCGATTTATTGACTCAAGTATGTCCGACTTTGCTAGGATAGGTGGCAATATGCCCCCTTTCTGTCTGTTACGATTGGACCTTTTTCTGGTTTGACCTATTACTTCACAGACCAAAATAATCGACAAACAAGTTAGACAAGTCTGATTGACTGTATACATGCAGGAGTAATTAGACTCCCAATTGCATTTTCTGGGTGTGTTCGATTTAGTATGATTTCAGTCGAACTAACATGTTGACATGTATTTTGAAAGTCTGGTTTTAGTTGGACTAACACGATAAATGGATTTTCTCTAATGTCATGTAAACATACCGATTGACACTCAGTGAACTAAGATAACCACTGATTTCAAACTAACCTGGACTCTCTCCCTACAGGACTGTCTCAGGTCTTGTCAGGAGCAAATCGAGTCACTGCTGGAAACCAGTCTCAGACAGGCACAACAACCGCAACACTCAGTTACCATGGAAACTAAGAACATCAGTGAGGGGCAGGACCTCTCAACTACACCCACAGATGTCCGGGACATAAACATCTGAGTGTTGTCAGTCATGTTGCTGGGTGAGAAAAGAGAAGCAGGTTGGACTGATAAAGTGGATGGTCATCTTTCACAAATACAAAAACACACATGGTTATGTTTAACATGATGTGGTGTGTATTGTGGAGCGCTAACAAGTAAAGGGACTCAACAGTGTATCAGAACTGTTCATATCAAGTCCAGTATGAACTATGGCGAGGATCAGCATGCGATGTGGACACGTCACATCCAAGACATTGACACCTTAAGACTGGAATTCAGCTACCACTGACGGAATAGCTGAAAGAGTAATGTCTGTCAAGTGGGGTTTCTTACCTGTGGGTATGTGCCCACCAAGGTGTTGTTGCCTCCTCCCAAAGTGAAACTGTGTAGCCTCAGAGACTGAAACTAACTGGTACGTTCAGACGTCCCTGGTCCTGTATTTATCAAACGCTTAAGAATTACATTAAGAATGCAGAAAAGTAATTTGCTGTAAGTGAAGAATAAGACAGATTTATCAAGCAATCTACACCTGCTGATGGTGAAGTGCTGAAGCAGACTTTAAGAGCAGCTTTCAAGTGATGAAATGGAAACAACGCATCCCATTAAATATGCATTTGGAGATAACAGTTCACCGTAGCAGGAAACAGGAAACAGTCTCCTACAACAAGCTTATTCTATATTATGTTTTTCCTTCATATTAGATGTTATACATATTACCTATACTGCATTATACAGCCATTTTAAAACATGTTTAAGAAGGGTTGAGCCAATTTAAGAGGCCTTTCTTAAATTTAGGAGCATGTTTAAGCCATATTATAAAAAATAGGTTAAATTTTAAGTTTGAAACTATGAGTAAAAGGGATGGAGGTTTCCATTTATGTATCACTTTCAGCAGTTTGATAAACACAGGCCCTGGTCAAGATGGAAAGTAAAGCCCTGTTTCCACCAAACACTTTCAGTACTGTACATCTGGAACCAAAAGTAACCCTTCAGACATGGCACCTAGATCCCTTTAGCGTTTCCACCACAAACAGTACCCTTGTTGTCACTCACTGCTCTGTCTAGCACTCACTGTATTACCACATCACTGGTGACACAGAGGGAAGTCTGCCCCCTTATCGTCCACAGAATGGGGTTGCACGTCGAACAAAATCAAACAGGCTGCAGTGTCTCCATGGGATATCTAGAAAAAACAGGTGTGTGCATTTAGTCCCTCTCCGTTTGGTAGCAGGCAAGCGCAGGGGTTTAGTGTTGCTGGAGCCCACATGAGCAATGCTCTGCAGCGCTTTTTTTCCCCTCCAAGTGAGGATAAGAATAAGTGCCGTTCACATAATGCGGTTGAATTAAATGTATATTTAAACGCCATATTCATATATGTAAAACTTGCCACGGTATGAACATTGGTTACATAAGCCTCAAAACAAGCTACAACTCAGCCCTGAGCAAAAGTGACTGTCTGCTATCGCGTTTCTAGTGCCACCTGTTAGTACCAGATCTGTGTGCTAGGCACCCCAACAGAAGGGTGACCAAAAATGGGGATGGTGGGGCGTTGGTGGCTTAGTGGTAGAGCAGGCACCCCATGTACAAGGCTGTTGCCGCAGCGGCCCAAGTTAGAGTCCAGCCTGTGGACCTTTGCTGCATGTCTCTCCCTCGCTCTCTCTCTCCCCCCTTCACGCTTCACTGTCCTGTCGTTTAAAGGCAGAAAAAAAATGCCCTAAAAAATATCTTTGAAAAAAAAAATAAAAAATGGGGATGATAAGGAACAGTTGGTACCATCCTCAACTTTTCACAGAGGAAACGGAAAACATTCATACTGAACTGAATTGAACCGTATCGTACTGCTTGGTGGAAATGGGGCTTAAGAAGTTGATCACCAGACAGTTGCCCTCTCACGGACAACAAAATGGTAACAACCAAACAAACAAAAAAGTGTGATATAATTTACATCATGATGGAGAACTGGCAAAAATGAACAATTGTAACCACATAACATGGTCTGTAACTGTGAGGTTTAGGTCCCTGAATTGACACCCGAAAAAGGATATGGTTGTGTGGTTGTGTTAAGTGGAAGGTGTTATAAACTGCCAAACTGAAACCACTGTTCTAATGGGATGCTGTGTAGTGTGTATCTTACGCCACCAGAGGGAAGTCAGACATTTGGGATGTAGTAGCCATCAAACTGCAGTGTTATCTGAATAAGAGCAAGGATCTCTGACATCAAGGTCATTAGCCATGTGGCAACACGTCACATTGCATTTCCTGTGTGCATCAGGAGCAAAACAGGCACAGTATCTGTCCACAGCATATCAATGGTTTTACATGGTTACAGTTATGGAAGACTGTAATGAGATAAGAAACCTATTGTTTTCCACACAAGCAAAAATTGGAAAATGCAATAATACTTCCTGTCTTTTTCTGGGTGTTGTCTCTGATTACTTAACTAATAATGAACTGTTTATCAAACAGGACAATTTTTTAACTACACACAGCAGGTTTTTCTGTCTAGGAAAAAGGGACAAAGCTGTACTCATGAACTAAAGTAAGATATCAAGTGTACTACTTTATTTTGCTTCTTATATTTATTATTCCTGTCACTTGACTTTACAGCTTAAAGTTGAGTTGTTCTAAAAGAGAAGAAAGTCTCTGTGAATTCAGCTGCTCTGTTAACATTGCCACACAGTGGTTCTTGAAGGTACTAATGTTTTGCTTCTTGAATAGAGAAGCCACAACAAATTGATGTACCTTTTATAGTGGTATGATCAACTTTTTATTTTTTATTTTTTTTAGGGTTTTGCCCTCGTGATATAAGCTTGTATCAGGTTAAGCCCTATGTTGGTGCTTTCTATGTCTGTCTAAGGACAGAGTGTAAAAATGAATTAAAGGAAAACTTATAACATTCTTAAAGCCTGTTGATGTTCATATTATTTCATATTTATGCCAAACACAGTTAATCAGTGTCTCTGTTGGCTGAGCCGGCACATATGCTTGGTCAGTCAAACTCTGACCTGCAAGTCCTCCAGAGGCAGCTGGAGATCACACCAAAACAACACATGCACACTTGTCAATCTTTGAGGCTTCACTAGGTGTGTGTGGGAGATGGAGTGAATACTTAAAATATACAAATGTTATGTGATCATGCCTTAACACTTAAGTTTTAAGATATAGCTGCGCGCTTAGCCCGCAGGGAAGTCACACACTGTAAACAGTGTATGAGAGCAATGCAGACTGGTGGTGTCATGTGCTAAACATGGTGATGAAACATGTCTGAATAATAATTCCCAAACAAAGTGCAGCAGTGTCTCTATTGGCTGGCCATCCACAGGGTCAAAGATGTACAGAGGTAAACTGAACTGCGAGTAGCCTCAACACAGGGCTTCATTGATCTGGCACAAAGTGAAAAGAAGAGGTGCAGGCCTGGTACACAAGAAATGAATGTAGTATTTAATGCAGACCTGTACATACTTATATCACGATGACATTGAACTTTGATCAAACTCATTAATTTTCAAAGTTCAGATGACAGAGTGGGGACCTAGAGCAAGATGCGTAATAAGAAATGACATTTCGCATCTGTGCATTTGCTGCAATGCAATCTCTATCATGCAAGGTGCTGTCTTTACCTTTCAGATTTGTGCAAGCACACTTCCCTGGTTTACTTTGTATTGTTTATGGAGTACTTGACCCACATGCCATGTCACCTTGACTTGTGGCAAAAACTTTTTTCACAGTTTTTTTTTTCACAACCCTCCATGGAAAATGGTGAACATAGTTATTTGTTAATTGACTGAGGACTACTTTAACAGTAAAACTATATCAACACATCTGTTTACAAACTCTCATACAACTCATGCAGTAAAATCTAAGTTTCATTTAGCCAGATGTATGCTCAATACTTCCTAAACACATGAATTTTCTTTAAAAAAAACCTTAATTTTGAATCTGGCTTTGAAGAAAGCATAGATATGTTTCACTTTCTGTTCAGTTTTAAATAGCAGGTTTTAACGAAAATGCACGTGTTTGGGAAGAACTGAGCATTCAACTGGATAAATGAGACTTGGATTATACTGCATGAGTATTTGTATTTATCAGTTCTGTGACACTGAATACAAGAACACATACAGGAACAGAAAACTCATCCATAGTTTCAGATATCTGTTGATGTCACAAAAAGAGATGTGTGGAAGTTTAAGATCCCAACATGATGTAGGAGATGGTGGATACCAAAAGTGATGTGCTCCCATTCATTTAAAAATCAACAGTAAAATCCCTCCAGAGAAACAAGATAAATATTAACATATTATCAAACATATTATGATGCTGATATGACAAACAGCTGCAAACTTGTCTATACATACAACCAGCAGACACAGAGCAGCATTAGCATTCATTTAGAGTGGTGTTTGTGTCACTTTATGAATGTAAGTCCAATATTCATCCTATTTTTAGCTCTGTTTCGTCTCCTGAGATAACAGTTACTGTTAATTTATCATGTTGATCTGTTCTGTACGACATCTTTTGCACGTCTGTCTGTCCTGGAAGAGGGATCCCTCCTCAGTTGCTCTTCCTGAGGTTTCTACCATTTTTTCCCCGTTAAAGGATTTTTTTGGGGAGTTTTTCCTTATCCGCTGCGAGGGTCATAAGGACAGAGGGATGTCATATGCTGTAAAGCCCTGTGAGGCAAATTGTGATTTGTGATATTGGGCTTTATAAATAAAATTGATTGATTGATTGATTGATTGATTGATAAACATCTGTCTCTTTAGCTGCTTAATGCTTCATTATGTTAAGCAGCTAGACTCTAACTACGTCTGTCTGCTGTTTGCCGATGAACAGGTAGTGTACAGTGGCTTTATCAGAGCTTTTTCATTAAAACTGCTGCTGCTGCTGCTGGAAACTAGGCTGATTAAAGATGATACTAAACCAAAACAGTGGAGTTGCAAGCTGTAAAACCAAAACAATAGCTAAACAAGGCTAAAAGGCTCCATAGAGCTGAGGAGAACTGCAGAGTTGCAGATAACTCTTAGTGGCCTAATCACGATAAGCAATTCTTTAAACATTACACAGAGTCTTCTGCCCAGTGCTGTGAACAGACACGTTGTGGGGCATGTGCTTGAGTAACAAAATGAGCACCCCTTCCACAAATATCTTTTACAAGTATGCAGTTTTTTTTCATGGACTCACCAAGTGCACCCTGCCATACTATTTATCTTCTAAACAAAATAATAACAGAACAGAGGTGTGCAGTGGCTGCAGCTCTGCACTCCTTCTCTCCTCCTCTGCGCACTTGCACTACACAAGGCAAGTACTGTACATGCAGAACAAAACCGTGTCAGATTAGTTAAAGTGAGTTATCAGAACCACAGTGTGGGAGATGTAAACATTATTTCAAGTTGACTGTTGGTTTATAAAGACACATGAGAATGAGAAAGCAGTCCGGTGTCTGTCTCCACCTGCACCACGTAGTTGGTGAACCTGAATCTGCCAGAGAGTTTGGAGGGAGACAGTGTGATTTTATGACAGACTAGCTTACTTGTTATTAAACTTAATTGTGGGTTACTGCCTCAATTAGACTGGCTGTATTGACATGTTTTAATGGTGGTTTAATTTCACAACAGTGACAAACAATGACAGGGCAAACACTATAGTTACCTGGCTGTCCGTGAAAGCAGGCCAGGGTGATGTGGATGCTACTCCACAGGGCGCTTGATTTGCATGTGTTAATTGTGGTGGTTTTGACAAGGGAAGTTCAAGAAGGAGCGGCAGGGCTTTGACTCAAGTGCAGCTGTTGGCAGACAACACACTTTTAATTGAGAATTGATGCCATGGGCCAATTTTAAAAACTAAAACATAACATTATTGAAAGAAACAGAAGAAAAATCTTTCAAAAAAGGGCGCTTATCCAATCAGAGGCCAAAAGGGCAGATGCTTGAGCACTACCTGGAGTCTATCTGTGCGTGTGCCTGCTTTTGCCTATCATTAAAATGAAAATATTGATTAGTGCAGCTGTAAATAAATTTAATTACAGAGTAAATTAAAATAATACAAGGAAATTACAGCCTGTTTAACTACTCAAGTGATAGTTAATTGAGATGAAACTTCCTCTCAGTTCAAACCAAGATGACTGCTCTTTCCTCTGCTGGCTTATTGCAAGAGGCTTCAGTCTGTCTGTACTAAGTTAGACAGGAAGAGGCACAATTCTTTAGTTTGTGATAGTTTTTGTCAGTCATGGCATGATCACATCTTTACTATGCTCTCTGGGAGAATATCACACTTCATGCTTGATGGTGTAAGGTTAATGGTATCTTGAATGATCACAATTTTTCTAATGTTGGTAAATGTGCACTGTGATAAGGTCAAGCAAAAAATCAGCTGAATGAGGCAAGACAAGATTGGCAGCTTTTGGTTGGATAAATCTTTATTGACAGACATCAGTACTGGAATCTCAAAGTCCGACAAGTTAAACAAGGACTCTATAGGGCTGCTGCTGGCTGAGAAGAAGATTAGATATAAAATGGAAGGTCATATGTGCAATAGGTGAAAAACAACACATGTGTACACAGTGGGTGAGAGGCTTACTCCACCCTCCTTGTGCAGTACACACCTATAGTATATTAAGTGCATGATGCACACATAACCAGCATTACAACAACACTGTCGTGAGATAGCAGTCAAACAGCTGCGAGGGTGTGACAGCTGAGCTGCAAACATGTCAGTGAAACTGGAAGGCAACATTTTAGTGACTGGGACGAACAGAGGAATTGGTTTGGAGCTGGTCAGACAGCTGGCAGAGATGACGGGGGAGCAGGCTCACATCTATGCCTGCTGCAGAGCACCTGAGGGACCCAGGGCTGAGGTGAGACAGTTACACACAGTGTCAGGGGTAATGCATTACAGGTATATATTACTTTTTAGCAGTAACTAAGAAATATACATGTTACTGACAGGTGTTCCCGTAATATTATCACAATGTCACATAACGCATTACCATCCTAAAGTGTTTATTGTTTTCATTTTGTTATTCATCCACACCACACCACTTTCGTCAATGTGCCACAAGAAAAAAATATCCCCCAAAGTTGTTTTGTTTTGCCATGTCATTAAAGGCCATATCGTAGAAGGATGCTGGTGATCATCACATCTTGCTGATGCTGTATGATGCATCAGTATGTTCAGTGTGTTTACATTCATATACCTGTCTACAACATCCTGTTCTGCTTTTGCGTCTAAATGGGAAATGGAATGCATGTGCGCCTTTCTAATCTTTCGACCACTCAAAGAGCATTTACACTACATGTCACATTCACCCATTCATACACACATTCACACACTGGTAGTTGAGGTTACCATACATGGTGCAACCTGCTATTTAGTAAACATTCACATACTCTCACACACTAGTGAAACAGCAAGCCAGTGCACTGTGAGGTTTAGTATCTTGCCCAAGGATACCTCGACATGGGGACTGGAAGAGCTGTGGATCAAACTGCTGATTTCCCGATTGGTGGACAACCCGCTCTACCACTGAGCTACAGCCACCCTAAAGGTTGCTTAGATGCAGCAGGGATAAGGAGCTGGGCTCTGGCCTGTTTTTTTCCTCATTCTGGTGATCAGCACATCTGGATGACGCGGTCAAAGGTGCGTTAGCGTGCTGGATGTTATTCCATTCACAATCCCCAACTGTGGCGCAACGCTGACACCTTCTGCACGATTCTTTCTCCAGTGTTGTTGTAGCTGACCGGCACACCGGGAACCCACAGCTCCAGTGTATTCATTTGGGGTCCTCATAGTAACTGACTCACACACCATTCCGTTTGTTGTGCTAAGCTCAGCACTTATCAGTTGTTTCTCATATGATAGGCCCACAAATATGTATCACTATCTCATATTTTATCATATTTTAGCCTTTGTCCAAGGCTATTTATTTATTAGGCTGTTTTATTGCTCTATAGTGTCATCAATCATTCATTAATAACCACACAGCTGAGGTCGGTGAAAATTGCTTACAGTATGGTAGGTAAGCTCAGTAAAGCAGTGTCACTTACATCAAACAGAGACAAAAACCAAAATCACATCACATAGTCACATGACATGACTTCAATAAAGTACCCATTAAGGCTGCAGACTGATCCACTGGAAAGTATCATGGTCCAAACACATTGAGGGGGCACTGGGGGGCTTCCTCAGTGTAGCCCCACTAGAATTAACCAGAAAAGAGATAAAACTCAGACAGTTAAATGAAAATGACAGAGAATAAATGAAATTTCAATGACACTGTGCTGGGTGTAACATGCAGTACTAAAGGTATAGCGGCATGCAAAATCTTTGGCACACCTGGTCAAAATTTATTTATTTAAAGAGAAACAATCAAAGGAAAAGAGCACCATGCAAACGTTTGGGCGCCCCAAGACATTTGAGCTCTCAGACAACCTATACCAGGGTCTCAGACCTTAATTAGCTTGTTAGGGCTCTGGCTTGTTCACAATCATCATTAGGAAAGGCCAGATGATGCACATTTTCCAAGCTTTATAAATACTTTGACTCCTGAAACCTTGTCCCAACAATCAGCAGCCATGGGCTCCTCTAAACAGCTGCCTAGCACTGAAAACTAAAATAACTGATGCCCACAATGTTGGAGAAGACTATAAGAAGATAGCAAAGAGTTTTCAGGTAGCTGTTTCCTCAGTTCACAATGTAATTAAGAAATGGCAGTTAACAGGAACTGTGGAGGTCAAGTTGAGGTCTGGAAGACCAAGACAACTTTCCAGGAGAACTGCTCGTAGGATTGGTAGAAAGGCAAATCAAAACTCCTGTTTGACTGCAAAAGACCTGCAGGAAGATTTATCAGACTCTGGAGTGGTGGTGCACTGTTCTACTGTGCAGGGACACCTGCACAAATATGACCTTTATGGAAGAGTCATCAGAAGAAAACCTTTCCTGCATCCTCACCACAAAATTCAGTGTCAGAAGTTGCACATATTTGTATAAGTACCGTAGTTGAAAAATGTTTAGCTGCCTGACAGTGAGTGACTCCACTGTAGAAGATGGTTGCATGTTTCCTATACCATTCAATAGTTTTGTCAAGTTGTAGTCTAACAGACCCTTGGTTAAACTCCATCCGCTGTCGTTTAGGCGATGTAGCTACGAGCCAATACAGTTAGGAAATGTTTTGGGCTGCAGGGCTGAGTTTCCCAAAACATGATCCTTCTTAGCAACGTTGTCTTCTTTGTGACTTAGAAGAACTACACTGCAAAAAAGAAAAGCACCTAGCGCCCTCAGTCATCTACAGCCAGGACATACTCAGAAGGCCCGTTTCCACTGAATAAGTTCCTGGTGCTATTTGGGGGGCAGGAACTTTACAGGAACGTCCTCTCACACGGCCCTCTCAACCGGCGTGTCTCCACTGAGAGGACGGAGTAGGAGGAAGGTTCCTGTAAAGTTACCAGGCTCTGGATGTGACGTAATCGTTGCGCGACCATTTTGACCGGGGCGACGCAACAAAGAAACAAACAAAAAACAGCAACAACAAAGAAGAAGAGCAGAAGTACGAAGCAGACATAAGAAAGACGATTATCAACATGGAAGGAGCTGAGGTGGTTGCTGGGTTTCTGGTGTGTCTCTTCGTTTACATGGCGGTGGAAGCTATGAACAACAGGAGAAGACATCTGCTGAGTTTTAAAAATGCCGGCTATTTTGTCACTTTCTGTTGACCTCACATCTCACCTTGAGTATATCCAATCAGCACCAAGTAAACCCCAAGCCCCACCCAGGAGTTTTTCAGGCCGTTCTGAGTACCTACTCCGAGGCAGGGACTTGTTTAGCCCCTGTAAAAGTTCCGGAACTCTGTCCTTCAGGAGTGTTCCTGCGGCGGAGACACCAATGGCCCTGGCCCCGTAAAATTACCCCGAAGTTCCTGTGGTGGAAACAGGCCTAGAGTATAGATGACACTCGTTCACGTGCGTCAAGGTCATGGCGTGATGGCGAGTGAAGACGAGAGTCCTAAGTCGAGTGTTTTTTTAGGGGGGGGAGTAACTAAAAAGTTACTTTTCTCAGTAACGCATTACTTTTTGGTTTAAGTAACTGAGTTACTAACTGAGTTACTTTTTAATGAAGTAACTAGTAATGGTAACTAGTTACTATTTTTCAGTAGCTAGCACAGCACTGCTGGTCACATGAAAACAGTGTCAGTTCAAAGCAAATTAGGATCCTGTGCTGTGGTGGACACACAAATTCTCTAAACAGCGTCACGCAACAGGTAGTATAAAGAGAGAGAAAGTCTGTGTTGGGAGGACATATTTTTCCTATAGAAAATATCTATTCCGACAGCTCCAAAGTGGTCTGAAATTATAGGTATCATACATATTACTTTTCTGTAGTATGTGTGTATGTCAGTATGTGTACACCTACTGTATTATTCATTCATTCATTCATCTTCTAACCGCTTCATCCTCTTGAGGGTCGCGGGGGGGCTGGAGCCTATCCCAGCTGGCTCAGTCCATAGGGACCTGGGTTGGGAACCATAGGGTCATCTGTTCAAGTCCCCGTCTGGACCAAATATGGAGTGTGGACTGGTAGCTGGAGAGGTGTCAGTTCACCTCCTGGACACTGCTGAGGTGCCCTTGAGCAAGGCACCGAACCCCTCCCCCAACGACCCTGACATCTCTCCACTTAGTGCATGTATAGGACCTGTTTGTGCATGTGTGTGTAATTGACAACAAGAGTGAAAAAATTGAATTTCCCCTCGGGAAATATAAAGTATACATATATATGTAAAAAATAAAAAAATCAAGGTGGTCCAAACAATCAGATTGCAATCTGTCTTCAGTGCTGCTTTGCTGCATTTATGCTTATCTTTCCAATGTTAGCTTTATGGAATTCACCCACATCACATCAAATGAACAAGACTCCATTTGCACTTTGTCAGTTTATGTTTCTTGGGCAAACAATATTAAAAAACTACAAAAAAAACCCACTGTGTTCTTTAATTGCCAGTTCAGCAAGATAGTGTAACCAAATCTAGATAAATTAAAGCAGGTATCCAGTCTGTGGTTGGGGTGAAGAAACCAGTAGCAGGTGCTCGGCTAGTGGCCCGTCTCCAACAAGCCAAACAGCATCGGAGAAACACTGATTTGTAACGTGATTTTGCTTTAGTCAGTGTGTTAATCCCATGGTCTCTTAAGCCCTATTTGGATGGGATTAGTTAAACGTGGAGACGTGGGGTAAAGTAATTATTACCAGGGATTTTAGTACTGTTCGAACACGCCATGTCTGTAAGATTTATGGATAATGTCAGTAAAAATTACGGCGACTTTTACCTTCTGTAAAACGGTCCGGAGAAAATACCTTGGGTAATATTAATCCCGTGTGAATGCGATCCTCTGTAAAAATGTATGTAAATCTTTTGTCGTGTCCTGTTTACAACCATTTTTCTGCGTTTACAACTATTTTTTTGTGTTTTTTTTTCCGATGATGGAGGTGCTTGAAGAACCATTCTGCGTTGTCAGCAGTCATGATAGTGGACATTCTTCTAATGACTGCATAGCCCTACGTGGAAAACCAATCAAAAAGGTCGAGAAGAAAGCACTTTTCAGAGCCCCGAGACTTCTGGTTGTGTTAGGTAGGCCTAATATAAACCCATATTGCTAATCGTTGTGTACACACAATCCTGATCATGGGCAATATTTCATATTGGGCTAATCATTAATTATTATTATCCTTCAGCTGATGCTTACAGGAAGCAATGTAGCACGCACATGCCGACAGGGAGGTGACGCCAGGGCGCAAACCGAGTTACTACTCCCATCTCTGGTAGAATTTCTTGTCCCGTGCGAATCAGACATTTATATTACAGACATCCTGTGGTAAACTGACATTAGTCCACAGCCCTATGTAAAACTAATCCCGTCCGAATAGTACTTTTGTTTTGGAGAGGAAGAGACCTCTGCAGATAATTCTGCTCTCGGTAAACATCTCCTGAAAATGACCACTGATGGAATTCTTGCCGGGAGGTCACACTTGTTACATGGGAGGAGTTTCAGCTGGTTGCAATCCTCACCGCTAGATGCTACTAAATCCTACACACTGTTTCTTTAAAATGTTATTTTATGTCAGGTATGGTCAGTTATGGTCATCTGACTGATTAAATCTGCAAGTGAACATTTTCATGGTTATATTAATGATCAACACACACCTCCAAGAACACAATCCTAGCCTTTTATCATCTTAGACTTTGATACCATTGATATGTAGATCTATTTGTTCCTCTGCATGTAGTTGAGTGATGTGTGCCTTCACATTTGAGTATGTGAATGTCTTTCTGCAGACATGTCAGATGAGGACAGTATCACAGCTGCTGTCCAGGTTGTGAGTAAGCAGATCGGGGCTGCTGGGTTGAACCTCCTCATCAATAATGCTGCTATAACCAAACCAGCCATACCGGGACCGTTATCTGCCACCGGGAAAAAGGACATGATGGAGGTGTACGAAACCAATGTGGTTGGACCATTTCTCATTGCAAAGGTTGGTTTGTCTTTATTTTCTGTGTTTATAGTATATAAACACAGAGATGCAGCAGGTACATAGGTAGAAACTGATATCACCATGTTGAGATGATGAAAAGCAGAAACTGATGCATTCCTTGCAACATCTGACCACAGGACTGACTGTCACATAAAGAAAGCACCTGCTCACACATCTGGTGTTGGAAATCCTCTTGTGTCTGCATCACTGCTGAGCCGTCACTGATCACATAGTAACAGTATATAAAACAGTTCAAGAAAAACAAAGAGGAACAGATGATGGTGAGCTAAGCATATACAACTGGCTACAGCAGAACATCTAGTCTGTAAAAAGAATGAGCACCAAAATATGAAATAAGTACATGTGTGCATCATGAATAAGTTGATACATATGGTATGTAAACTCAGATGTAATTACTGTGATACAAGTATTTGTGTTAGTTATTGTGCAGAAATACACAGCACATCCCCTCTCTCTCTTCAGATGTTCCTTCCACTCCTCAAGAGAGCAGCAGAGATGGACTCACCTGAAATGGACCAGGGTAATGAAGTGGAAACAGTCTGAATCACTGTACCTTATACACAAACACACATGAATGTACAAACATGAGCAATTATTTATATCACGTTTCAAATTACCAGTATTACATTAGAGATGTTATTATTCAAGTGCAGTGTCCATTCAAAACAAGCCTTTTCAAAATGGACTGATTGCTCGGCCTGTGGTGTTGCTGCTTGCAGATTTCTCCACAAGTGCTCATCCAAACAACTTTGCACCTGCGCTTCGCCAACTGGGTGTGGCCAGGCGGATTTTGCAAGTTTAGCACACCGTGCACCTGGTGCAACTACTCCTCTTTCCCACCTCCGTCCCTCCTATCTGCGCAAGTCGGGAAGAGGGAGGAGAGAAGGCGTGGAGTGGGTTTTACACACATCACACCAATCAAATGAGCCAAATGAGCCCCTCTCCTCGCCCTTAAATGTGCTGCACGAAGGCGTAACGAGAGTTCACTCAACTCGCCATGGCAGAAGAGAGCAGCAGCGTCAGACGGCCAAACTTCTACCAGGAGGAAACTGATGTTTTGGTCTGGGAGGTCCAAGCTCACAGTGTCCGAATATACGGAACTGCGAGCAGACCTCCACGGGCTGATGATGCAAAGGTAGCCTGGGAGGAGGTCACCACAATTGTAAATCAATGTTGCGCACTCTCTCTCTGTCTCGCAGTCTCACTCTGTTTCTTTTCTTTTGACTTTTCTAAGATGACAGATGCTGAATATATACTCCCTATCTGATGCTGTGGCTGTTTGTGGTTGGCTGAGAGGGATGTGAACTCATTAGTTTCAAATCAGGTTGGGTTTCCATTACGCGTGCCAAACGTGCCAAACGGTGCCAATCCCCTTTGATCTGACATCAGATGTGACGGGACAGTCGATATAGAGATACATTTATGTGCTGATTGCAGGTAGTTGCATTGAATAGTGTTTTTTGGGGTATTTATTGCATCGTTAATGTGCCTGATATTCTGGAAACCTGCCTGTGAGGTTTTGGTGACGTGTGCGCACTGTCCGCCGGTCAGCCAAACTTCGGCTTACACCGACTGCGCTCCCCCTGCGCTGACAGTAGACCTGGTTTCAGCTGGCGAGTTTTTAGCGCACCTTCGGCGAAGCCTTTTGGCACGAAACTGTCACTGCGCCAAGCTGGATCTGTCGACACCTCCCCCTGCTCCACCACCACACCCATCTCAGCGCACCTCGATCTGCCAAACTACCAAACTGAGCGCGCCTCGGGTTGCGCTGCTCGAAACTAGCTCTGTGCGGGGTACGCCACCCTGCGCCGCGCAGGGAAACTAGAGCCCAAAAACTCAATTGCTATTCTAACTCAGTGTACAGCAAAGTATCAAACAGATGCCCTTAAAAATATGCATCTCAAGGAAACTTAATTCAATTCAGTTCAGTTCAATTCCATTTTATTTATAAAGCCCAATATCACAAATCACAATTCGCCTCAGAGGGCTTTACAGCATATGACACCCTCACAGCGGATAAGGAAAACTCCCCAAATAAAACCCTTTAACCCCCTTTTATTTTAGTAATAATATTATAAAAATAATAATAACAGTAATTGTGGTAGCATATGTTGTAAGTATATATTAATATAAGATAGTATATGTATGTGACAATAATAATCATATGTGAATAATAATAATAGTAGAAGTATGACTAATAATAACAGTAGTAGTAGCACACATCAGGCAGGATCACAGCAGCAGCACAACCATGATCCAGGTGTAGCTGCGATATGAGCACAAAGGCTCCAGAGAAAAAGCCGAGTTATTGACATGCAGTAAAGCCAAGTTAGCGATATGCAGTAATAGGACATGAATATTAGCAAATGAAGAACCAACTTTTCAGAGACTGATGTGAGAGAGAGAAGGAGAGAAAAAGAGAAGGGGCTCAGTTTATCACAGGAGGTCCCCTGGCAGGCTAGGCCTATGTCAGCCTAACTAGGGGCTGGTCCAAGGCAAGCCTGAGCCAGCCCTAACTATAAGCTTTATCAAAAAGGAAAGTCTTAAGTCTAGTCTTAAATGTGGAGACGGTGTCTGCCTCCCAGACCGATACAGGAAGATGATTCCACAGGAGAGGAGCCTGATAGCTGAAGGCTCTGGCTCCTGATCTACTTTTGGAGACTTTAGGAACCACAAGTAACCCTGCATCCTCAGATCCCAGTGTTCTGGTAGGATATTATGGCACTATGAGCTCTTCAAGATATGACGGAGCCTGACCATTTAGAGCTTTGTAAGTGAGGAGAAGGATTTTAAATTCAATTCTGTATTTTACAGGGAGCCGAGGTAGAGAAGCTAAAACAGGAGAAATGTGATCTTGTTTCTTAATTTCTGTCAGTACTTGTGCCATCGCATTCTGGATCAGCTGCAGAGTTTTTAAAGACTTATTAGAACAACCTCATAATAAGGAAATGCAGTAATCCAGCCTAGGGGTAACAAATGCATGAACCAATTTTTTTTTGTATCATTTTCAGACAGGAAAGGCCTCATTTATGCAATGTTATGCAAATGAAAAAACTCATAAAAATATCAATAAAATATTACTATATACAGTATATATATATGTAGTCTGAATTTAACACAAGGAATCAGGTTTTTATGTCTTTAAGGCATGTTTGAAGTTTAATTAATTGATCAGTTTCTTATGGCTTGATCTATAGATATAATTGTGTATCATCTGCATAACAATGGAAATTTACAGAGTGATTTCTAATGATGTTACCAAAGGGAAGCATACATAAAGTGAACAGAACTGGTCCGAGTACAGAACCTTGTGGAACTCCAAAACAAACTTTCATATGTAAGGATGATTCATCATGAACATGAACAAACTGAAATCGATCATTTAAATAGGATTTAAACCAGCTTAGTGCAGAACCTTTTAGGCCAATTAAATGTTCCAGTCGCTGTAGCAGAATTTGATGGTCAATAGAATGTGCCAGGGCTGACGTCAAAACCCGGAAGTTTAGCATTGGGCTGGTTCCCGGAAGAGAAAGTGAATGTTATTTTTGCATTGCATTTTGGATTATGTCAGAAAATAAGCTCTGTGGCTAACACAAGTTTATGATACTTACAGGTTTGTTCAGCGAGACAATCTTCACATATGAACACCTTTCATACCGCATTTGAAGCTTAAATGCGATCGCCAGAAGTAAAAAGCTAACGTACATGACTACTCCACGGTCGCATGACTCTTGACATCACCGCCACTAAGCTTTCAACTGATTTCGGCGGCTTTATTTTAAAAACATTGTATAATGGGGAAATCGGACTGTTTAAGCTAAATAAGAAGCTGTAATGACGGACTGCCAGCACTCTCGCCTGTTCGGGGGTGATGACGTTTAATGTCCCCGACAGGGTTTGTAGTCGTATTGAGCAACTTGTTAGCAACTGCCTTTTTTACGACACGTAAAAGCTTCAAAATTCACAAGTAGGGTATTTACTGATGTGTTTTATGTCGTAGAACAAAACCTGAAACTTGTTAACCACAGACCTTATTTGAGGCATTTTACCAAAATCCCATTCAAAAAACGTATTGACTTTTAGACGAGAGAACCGGAAGTGCTAAAAGTGCTAACGGAGTTCCGGGTTTACTGGCACACTCTATTGTGTCAAATGCTGCACTAAGATCTAATAAAACAAGGACAGAGACGAGTCGTTTGTCATCAGCAATCATTTGTAATTTTCACTAGTGTTGTCTCAGTGCTATGATGCACTCTAAATCATGAATGAAATTCCTCAAATAAATTATTATCATGGAGAAAATCACACAGCTGGTCTGCGACTACTTTCTCAAGGATCTTTGAAAGAAAGGGAAGATTAGATATTGGTCTATAGTTGGCTAACACTTCTGGATCCAGGGTAGGCTTTTTTAGTAGAGGTTTAATTACAGCTACCTTAAAAGACTGTGGTACATAGCCTGTTAATAAAAACATATTGATTGTGTCTAATATAGAGGTGTTAACTAAAGGCAAAACTTCTTTAAGAAGCCTAGTTGGGATGGGGGCCTAAGGACAGATTTAGATGAGGAAATCATTGATGTCAGTTGTTTAAGGTTAATCAGAGAGAAGTGATCCAAATACACATCAGGTCTCACAATTGTGTTCAAAGTCCTTGTGTTTGAAAGCAGATTGGTATTGTGTGAGTGCAAGAGGTCATGAATTTTGCCTTTAATAGTTAGAAATTTGTCATTAAAAAAGCTCATAAAATCATTACTGCTAAGGGCTAAAGGAATACAAGGCTCAATAGAGCTGTGATGCTTTGCCAGCCTGGCTACAGTGCTGAAAAGAAACCTTATTTTCCTCTATTAATGCGTTTTAAGACTGTCTTCCCAGACTAAACGAGATTCTTCCAGTTTGGTTAATCGCCAATTCCTTTCAAATTTTTATAATATTTGTTTTAATTTTCGGGTGTGGGAGTTGTACCACGGAGCTAACTTTCTTTGTTCCATTAACTTCTTTTTAAGAGGTCCTACAGAATCAAGTGCTGTTTGCAGTGAGCCTTCAGCATTATCAACAAGATAATCAATTTGGGAGAGTTTAAAGTCAGTACTCTGTTAGGGGGTGATCACACAGAAATGAGACGCTAGAGACACGGACGCTTCAAAGACACTTGAAACGCTGGAAGCGCTTATTCAATGCGCGCTAGCTACTGGCGTCTGATGCTCAAAAAGTTGAAAATATTTTAACTTTTCAGCGTCTACCCGCGTCTAAAAAGAAGCATCTACAAAAATGTGCGTCTAAAAAGACGCCGGAAAAACGCCCGCTTGAACACCGGTCAGACGTGCCATATCATAGGAAAACAATGGTTTTACTGGCGTCGCGTTTCTAGCGTTTCATCTCGGTGTGATCACCCCCTTACAGTGGGACATGGTATTAAATTTAATGCTGATGGAATCAGTTCCTTAACTTTGGTACAGCACTATCAGATAGACATTGAGTATAGTAGCATTTTCTGAGAGGCGTGTAATCGAGTAATAAGAAATCAAAAGTTATTAAATAATGATCTGATAGACAGGGATTCTGTGGAAAGACTATTAAGTTTTCAATTTCAATTCCATATGTCAGAACAAGATTGAGGGTGTGGTTAAAACAGTGAGTGGGTTTATGTACACTCTGACTGAAGCCGGTGGAGTCTAATAATGTAATAAACGCAGTAGTGAGGCAGTCATTATCAGCGTCAACATGAATGTTAAAATCACCTAAAATCACTTGATAAAAACTCTAAGAATTCAGATAAAAATTCAGAATATGGGCCAGGAGTGATTGATGAGTTTTAAACTACAGACAGACAATGTGCTGATTTTTTGAACGTGTTATGTGTCCAAATCGTCATGACATCCAATGTCATGATGTAAGTCTTTCTGTCTTTCTCTGTCTCAGGTGATAAAATGTCCTGCAAGAGGTCAGCCATCATCAACATCTCCACGAGCATGTCATCCATAGAGAAATGTCCAGAAATCTTTGCTATAGACCAGAGGTACCCTTATAGGGCCAGCAAGGTACCACTGACTTACACACCATCTTTTTTTAAAAAAAAAAGAATTATTACAGTACATACTAAAATAATAGCATGGACTTTTCTACACTAACAGGACACATTCTACACAGATAAAAAAGGGAATCCGCAAACCTCATTTAACTTGTGACGAATGCATTGCTCTCACACATTTACACTTGCTTTATGAAAGACATGGACTCTAGATTTTGTGAATGCTGCGCATGACACAATTCTGCTTGATTTGATTGACTTAATTTTTTATTTATTCATGTATTTTTGCCTAAAACCTTGAAATGAATACCAAAGTCATCCTTAAATAAGACATCATGTGTAATTTTGTTAATGACAGGGGGTCTCACTCATGAAATGGTAGTAAATCTTTGAGAAGATTTGCACATTAAAACCTTGGTACTAAAAACCTACACCGGATACATGAACGCTGTGGAGAACTCGGATTTGATCGTAGACAGGTGTGTATGTTCATGAATGCCAATCAATCATAAATTGACAGCACGCTCCCGCTAGAGGTGATGATTACTATGGATAGGCGCATCCCGTCGACCTGCGAACATGGAGCAAAGAAAGACAGAGAGAGAGAGAAAGAAAACGCTTTTCCGACGCTGGAGTTGAGAAATACATTTTATTTTCTTCTGTTAGTAGTGGTGTGACTATTTCTTTTTAATAATTTTATATCTTAGTTTCTAAATTTGACCCATGGCATCAATCCTTAATTAAAAGTGTGCTGTTTGCCCAAAAGCTGCACACAAAGCAAGCGCCCTGCAAAGCAGCATGACGTCTCCCTCATCTGCCACGTAACAATAGTGTTTGCCCTAAGCCTTTGCATTCTTTGTCTCTGCTGTGAAATTAAACCACTATAAAAACATCCCACTACAGGCAATCTAATGTAGGCAATACATTTAGTTTAATAATTTAGTTTAACTACAAGAGAGATAGTCTGGTGTAAAACCACTCCGTCTCCCTCCAACTCTCTGTCAGATTTGGGTTCACCAGCTGCCTGGTGTGAGAGGAGATAGATACTGAATTGCTTTCGTCCACCAGTCTTTTTAAAGCATAACTTAATTTGAAATAATGTTTACGTCTCCCACGCCCTGTCTGTGATAATTAAACAAAAGTAACATGCAGTTTGGGGCTACGGTGTGTAAAGAGGGCAGAGGAGGAGCGCGCTGGTTTATTTATTTATTTGGAGAACAGCATTCTCCAATTTTGTATAAAGTCAATTCAAATAACCTTCATGTTTTTAAGAAATCTGAAGCTTAAATCTGCTACATACCAACTTATTTAGCTAAATGTGTTATATTTCTAATCTTTTGTCATTTTTTTTTTTTTAAAGATATTTTTGGAGCAATTTTACCTTTAACTGATGGGGTAGCTGGGCGTGTGGGGTCAGTTTTAACTCACTTTTTTCAAGGGCATCTGCGTATTATGAGCATAAAAGAGCACAATACAAATTAAAATTGTAATTTCTAATAATGACAAGCAATATTTATGTGCAATATCTTATTTACACAAATACTACAAGCAGTCAGAAGCAGGTGTATTTTGTTAGTACCTACAAAAACATTGGAGCTATATTGATGAAAAATACACGTAAATTTGTTCTGCGAACAGTTCACACACAAATCCATTCTGCTTACGTTTCATGAATGAGACCCAGGGAGTTTACATTAACTAATAAAACAACATGGAGGTTATGACCCTGGTGTCCTCTGTAGTAGCTATAATCAACCCGTTCTCATTCCCAGGTTGTCAAATACTGACGCTTTGTCATGCATGTGATAGTGACACCAAAGGCACTGTTTAGCATGTTTGATGAGGTGCAACAGGCTTTCAGCTAACTCCAGTGTAAACCCATCTGCAACAATGGTTAACACTGAAAGTGACTGGCACAGTTTAAAAAGGGAGAAAGATCATGTAGGGTGGGAGGGACACAGACTTTCACCCAGGAGACCACAGTTTGAGTCCCGTGTGAAATCAAAAGTCAAGGTTGTTTTAAAGTAATGTTACATAATTTACGTTCAATCGTTGTACCCTGACGTCCCTCACATGAAGTATTTACATCATGTTACGTTACATAACAGACGTACTTATTTTAATCCCAAGCATGATCTTTTTTTAAGAGAGCTGAATACCTAGGAACCCAGACTTCCATGGTTTTAGTCTGCCAACTGTCATGATTGTGGGGTATCACTGAATACAAATTTGTAATAATACAGTATCAAAGCAGTTGAATCTGATGTGCAGTCATTAACACAGAATAGCATCTGCTGCAATTCATATTCATGTGAATGGCATCAGAAACCTGTATCCATGTGTAGGTTACACTAAAGAATAATACACTGAATGTAATTTTTAAATTGCTGTACAACAATGCCTCTGTCCTTTCTGTTGTTGGTCTCCAGGCAGCGCTGAACATGCTGACTCGCTGTCAAGCTGAGGACTTCAAAAGTTACAACATACTAGTGACAGCAATCCACCCTGGCTGGGTCCGAACTGAGATGGGAGGAGAGGAGGTGAGGTGATGGAGAGGTTAGATACTGCAGACCCTTTAAATACATGAAGGTAGTTTCAGCAGGTTTGTAACAACTGAAAGCACATTAGCATAACAGATTCAGTAACGTGAACCTGCTGTCTGGTTGGACTAGCCCAACTCTTTACAGAGCAGCTCACTCTATCAGTCTGCGAGGAAGGTAACAAAGTACATTAACATATTTAAATACTGTACTGAAATATTATTTTGAGGTACCTGAGTGTTTCCACTTGTTGTTTCTTTCTAATTATACTCCACCATATTTATCTAGTGCGTGCAGTTACTAGTTACTAGTTTGGAGAGGCATACAATCAAAACATCTGATACAAACTACTAAGCAGTATTTAAAGTTCACTCACCACTTCGGTTCAAACTGAGATATCACAGTGACTACTTATTGCCATGACATTTTGCACAGACATTCATGGTTCCCAGAGAATACACCCTGACGTCGTTGGTGCTTTTCTGACTTTTCATGGAGCGCCTGGGTCTTTAACAGGGAGTCCGGGACTCCTAGGGGTCCTCACAGTTACTGCAGGGGGGCCGGCAAAATATTGTTTGATAAGTTTTTACATTTTTTTTCTTTTTAAAAATGAAATTATGTGTAAAAAACATATATAGATATAGATATATAGATATATACATGGGAGTTTGAGGGTTCTACACAGTATCTTAGCTGTTACATCTATCACCACTGCTTCCTTCTGATGTTTGTCCATCAACACAATGTCCGGTTGATTATCCATCACTAGTTTGTCAGTCTGGATCTGGAAGTCCCACGGGATCTTAGCTCAGTTATTCTCAACCACCTTAGGAGGTGTCTTCCATTCTGACCTTGGGACTTCCAGCCCATACTCAGTGCAGATGTTCCTGTACACTATGCCAGCCACTTGGTTATGGCGTTCCATGTAAGCTCTTCCTGCCTGCATCTTACACCTTGCTATAATGTGCTGAACTGTCTCAGGAGCATCTTTGTACAGCCTGCACCTGGAGATCTGTCTGGTGTGGTAGACCCCCCCATTCCGATTGATCTTGTACTAAGAGCCTGTTCCTGTGCTGCCATGATTAGTGATTCTGTGCTGTCTTTCAATCCATCCTTTTCTAGCTACTGGTAGACTTTCTTGATGTCTGCCACTTCTTCAATCTGTCGGTGGTACATGCCGTGCAGGGGCTTGTCTTTCCATGATGGTTCATCCTCCTCTT